GACTCTGGTGGTACTTAGTATTACGTACCTATACTTAACTATAGTAGTAACAATACGTCTATAACGTAACTATATATATATATATATATATATATATATATATATCAAGTTGTACTGCTGAAGCTTTGATGGCCAACTTCAAAATTATTTCTGTGACTTATGAAAACAGTTGTTATACGTTATAGCGGACATGGCAAAGAATTGTAGATATAAAACGAGTTTTGTCAGTTTTATACTGACGTTGTCAAGATCTTACTTGTGTCATTTCACTACTACTTCGTTTTGTGTACTTTGAGTTATAAGTATTCAGTTATAATTTTAGATACTGAGCATTACTTTATAGGACTTCAGGCGTGTCTAACGTTTTAGCATTCGAATTTGGACTGTGAATCCGAGAGTTCATGGTTCGCAATCCGTTACGTAAGAACGTGCTCCGAACTTTCGAGCCATGAGTGCGATTTAAGAGTGGCGTTCAAATTCAACTACTCGACCAGATAATAGTAGCTCAACAGTTGGCGGTGGGTGCTATTAACTAGCTGCCTTCTTTCAATTTTATGTTAATGGAGAGTCTTCCTCGGTGGAATTTCTTCAGGATAGACGTGTTGACTTTCATCAGGTCAGTTTCAGGATGTAATTACAGGTTCAAATTCTAGAACGGAAAGTAGTAATAATTTGAAAGGAACGATTTCTCTACATCTCCAGTACTTTTGTGGAATTCTCGGTTCATTCCTTGCATTTTTCTAACTTTATGAACTTTTTTTTTCTATTTGATAGAGAAGTTTTTGCTGTTGACAACTATAACATCGTATTTTCACACGTTATATTGTTTTATAACCACACATTTTAGCAAATAAAAATTTTTTCAAGTAAACGTGTTTTGAATTTTTAGCCATTTTGCTTTTATTTGAACTGTGTGGCTGTCGTATTGATATAATTTGTTTTTATTTCTTTATTGTGTATCGGAAGAGCAGGTTTAAGCTGTATGTAAGCACATCCTGAAAAAAAAAAAACTATTAATAAATAACTAGCAGAGACCCGCAAAACATTTCCGACCAAATTGGTATTTTTATCGTAACAGTTCTTTTTTCAATATAACATTTCTAGCACAATACAAACGAATTGTAATCTCAGACAACGAAATGTGTAAATCCACTTGTATATAGGC